GCAGGAATGACATGCAGATAGCTGACTCAGTGTTGGAAAGTCTGAGTGTGTTTTATGAAATCAAGAAAGTGACATGGAAGTTCACTGTTTTTCTTCTCTTGTATGAAGAAAGCAGTGACTGTATGTGTGTTTGTGTGGGGAGCACAAAGAAAGCAGGGGGTTTTGTGAACAGCTCTAGCTCTTTTCAGTAGAGATGTATTAATGCTCGCAATGAAGGTGTAGTTTGAACATTGTTCTTGGTGCATGGAATGAAAGAAAACCCCAAGCCTCCCAAAAAATAAATTTAAAAAGCACCAAAACCCACCACATTCAAACTCACACACTATGTAAAGACTATAGTGTGTGTCTGTGTGTGCAGAATATTTGGTACATCTAGGGTAAGAGAAAAAAGCGTTTGCTGAAATTTTCCAGTGCAATCCTCTGCGTTCTGTATTTATGCCATGTCATGCCCAAGCACAGATTTGTGGAGAGCACTTTCCCTTGTACAAAATCGTGTGACAGATTTTAAATTTTAAAAAAACCTGAAGTCTGTGACGTTTTCCTATATACACTAATATGTGACAAATCTATCTGTAACATATCACTGAATGGTGGCTGAGCTTTGTATGTAGACAATGCAGACTGTCTTTTTCAAGCTGAATCTGTAGAGGAACTTGTGCCAGACACTTGAGAGCAGTTTTAAGTTTGGCTCTTCTGTGAAAAGAATTGGCTGCTTTTCCTCACGATACTTTGCAAGTCATGATGGGTGGGAGGCAGGGAAGTAGGGATACAAGGATTTAAAAAGAGTAAATAATATTATGCAAAGTAGTTTAGGATCAAAGCTTTGTTTCTTGTCTGACCATTGAAAAGCTTCCATAATCCATGAGTAACGGGGCCTGCTTTCAAAAATGACTTCAATTCTTTACTCAAATTTTACATTTTATGGACTGTAGGTGCATGTTTTGAGAGACAATTGGTGTTGTGTGAGCTGGGTTAAAACTCCTAACAATAAGGATGTTTTCCACAGCATCTGAATGTATATTAAGAGATTGCCAAATTATTGAATCGATCTGACATGGGATAGTAGAAGCATAATTTGGTGCAATAGGTGGAATTATAAATGTTTGAAGTTTTTTGCTAAATTTAATTGCTAAATAAGCCATTAAATATATATATTATTAAAAACATGTGTTGTCCTATAATGAATTTAGTGAAGAATTGTGTATTAAAAGGGGTCAATCAAATTCCATTATTTGGTGGTTTTGTCAGGCTCTATGACAGGCAACTGTTGGGTAACTAGAGATTTATTTTGAAGTAAAAAAATTCATGTACTGTAGATAAATCATCTATTTTGAAAACATAGTTAGGCAATATAAGACCTGAAACTTTATCTGTGGATTATTTAGGTTTAGATTGTTCATCAGTAATCAGGAAATAAAGATTGTTAATGTAGAAAGGATCTGGAGGGATGAAGAGGGAAGGCATTTTACAATATTTTAAATCTAAAAAGATAGACCCGGTTGGCATGAAATACTGAATTTCATTAAGACATTGATAAGTAATTTGTTATATTTCAATTTCTTTGTAAAACAGAAAAAGTACCCAGAGAAAAAAGGTTTAATCATTTACCCGAGGGTTTGTATAGCAAATTCATAGAGGTGGAGAAGAAATCACTGTGTTCTTCCTGCAGTTGTCAATTACCTTTTAAAAGGCTTGCATTGATTTTTTAAAAAAATAAGCTTTGTGAATGTAACTTCAGTTCCCAGATACAGTACATTCCTTCTGGGCTGTTAGAAGAATGGAGAAGAAACATATGAATTCAAACAAAACAAATGTTACTTACTAGAAGGATTTACAAAACAAGCATTTTTTATAACCTTTAGAAAAATCATACTCTATCAGTGGTCTGTATTTTAATGTCCATAGCTGTTTTCATAGTGCATTTCTCCTTAACGGATTAAAGTATTCTGTGCTAAATAGCATGCGGTAGAAATAGCTGTCCTGACAAAACTTTTTTACATCAAGGCTTCAAAATTTCAACAAAGTTTAAACATTATTTAGATATAACAATTATTTTACAAAGACTACTTTTAACATGAGCAGGCCACCCACAGTGTTGACTAGAGAAAATGGCATGCAAGCCACCCAGCGAGACTGATGTAATTTTTTTCATCTTTGCTTAAAGTATAGTCACTAGACCAGATAATGTAGAAACTTCTACACGCAACGATCAAAAGGCCTAAAACAGCTCTTTTTTTTTTTTCCTTTGGTTAATTAAAAATAAGTCACAAGTTGAAAAATGCAAATACTGGTATGCAATGTAAATCTGTACTATATGTGAAATTTTATTATTCTGTGTTAAGAAATAATCTTTATTAGAAAACAGAACACTTTTTAGTTTGGATAGAGAGGGGTTTAGGGCTATATGTAATGTATTTATTGAAGAATATTCACAGATGGTATGGAGACTTAAGTGCATGAAATTGTTGACCAAGGGTTGATCCTGTGTGCAATGAAAGCCACTAAGACTTTTAATGCAATGTGAAGACAATTTGTATTCATTCTCTTCCAGTGACCAGCTATCAACACTACAAACATGACATTTTTTCAGTCATGCCATTGTCTTTGACCTAGTCTTTGGTGCTTTTAAGTGACTCACTTAAATATCAAACATTGTTAATAATTTTTAAGACTTGATCTAGAAACACAAAGAAATTGTTTGCAAATCCTAGTGATAGCTTTGGAAGCTATAACATTCGTTATCATAGTGAAATTATACTTTTTTTAAAAAAATAAAGCTTTCTATTACTTCTTCCATATCCTGAGATGCATAATTTAGTTGTGAAATGTACATCTGGAGCCAAAGCAAACTATAAGATATCTGCAGCAAGACTTGATCTAGAAACACAAAGAAATTGTTTGCAAATCCTAGTGATAGCTTTGGAAGCTATAACATTCGTTATCATAGTGAAATTATACTTTTTTTAAAAAAATAAAGCTTTCTATTACTTCTTCCATATCCTGAGATGCATAATTTAGTTGTGAAATGTACATCTGGAGCCAAAGCAAACTATAAGATATCTGCAGCAAAGCTTTTGAAATAG